TGCGACATCTTCACCACGTCACTAAGTCGCCACACCCTATGTATATAGTTATTATTATGTCATTATTATATAATTATTATATATTTTTTATTTGCTTAATAGACAATATATTTGTCATCTAGAAATAATTTTCAAATTTTTATAAATAAATTTTATTATTAAGCTAAATATAAAGCGCTCTAATCTAAAACCTTTTTTTTACTAAGTAAATCACTTTTGGGCTTCTAACAAAAGTTGTAGAGCTCATTAAAACACATTTAATAGTAATAAGAATATTAAAATTAGTTTTGTAGTTTTTGAGAAATCTTTAAAAAATATTTTGCTAATATATAAAATTTTTTTAAAATAAATTGATTTTTTTTAAAGAAATTTTATGTTAATGAAATATTTTTTAAAAATTTCTCAAAAACTACAAGGCCAATTTTAATATTCTTATCATTATTAAATATGTTTTGATTAGCTCTACAACTTTTGTTAGAAATAGGGGTGTAGCGACATAAAGTAGTAGTTAAGTTGTCACCTCCCAAGTGGCAGGTCTAGAGTTCGATTTCCACTGGAGATATTTTTTGAAAAATAGGCCTGTGTTCTGATAACATTTATTCAACGATCAGTTAGGTATATCATCTATAATCTTGGTACTATCATCTCGTTATAGAAGCTTTAGGGCGATCCAAATCCAAGAAACTGGAATATTTGAAACCCGTTTAGCAAGACCCGAGCTAGGAATAGTGAAGATCTTTGACGATACTACAGAAAATCAGAACCGGAGACTGAAGAACTGGACGAACAACCCTGGGGCAAGAAGGGTCTACCAACCTGGCCACTGAAGTTGTATCGAAGAAAAAGGTCTGATACTACAGAATTCAGAACCAAGGGAAGTAAAACTAGAAGGCACTTAGAGCCTAGATACAACAACCTATCTGAACTAACTGGTTTGATAGTTAGGGAGGGATTGGTATAAGGGCCGGTTAGAAGTAGGTATCGGGGTCGAAACAAACCTTGTAAGAGCAAGGAGTAGGTTACAATAGCGATGCAGAAAATCGCAAGTTCCAGTTCTCAGATTGGGGCATAAGTTTTTGAAAAATCTAGATAATACATGTATAGGACATGGACTGCTCTGGTAGGTTTACCACAAGGATAAAGTAGTCCTAAGGGGCCTAGCAGCAGGAATTCTTCTAGTAAAAGCATCTGACGGCACTAAGTCGATCAGAGGGTTTAAATAGAAGATCTACAAGCAGATCTTAGATATGGCAATTGGTGGGTAACTATAGATAGAAATAGATATAGTGGAGCCCTTAATTAGACAATAACTAAAGTTGTACGTGTGACTAATTATACTCTTGTTGATATAACAAAGTCAAGAGATGCCTATTCGGTATCCTGATAATTGGCCTGTGAAGTTAATAAACCATGCCAGACCTCCAAATAGTCACCTTAATATTTAAAAAAAAAAAAAAAAAAACTTTTGTTAAAAGCCCAAGAGTGATTTACTTAGTAAAAAAAGTTTTAGATTAGAGTACTTCACATTTGGCTTAATAGTAAAATTTACTTATAAAAATTTGCAGATCCTCTTTAAATAACAGATATATTATCTATTAATTATTTTGTTTAATACAGTAAATTTTGAAAAAAATTTGTATTCTTTATATGAGTGTTACCAAGAGTAAATCTGCAAATCTAAAAATAGATCATTTATAAATTTTATAAATGATCTATATTTTTAGATTTGTGAGTTTTTCTTTAGTGATACTCATATATTTTTAAAAGTTTTTGAAAATTTTTGAAAATTTTTTTGAAATTTTTTGTGATAAACAAAATTTTTTTAAAAAATTTTGGTGTGCAAATTTTTTCGAAAATTTTTGTTTAGTTATATTTTTGTGATAAAATCTTATAAAGCTATGCAAAATTAATTAATTGATTTTCATAACCTAACTAGATCAAAATTTAAAATCTTGTAAAAAAAATTTTTATATATTTTAATAACTAGGTAGGCTTTTTAAAAAATTTTAAAAAAATTTTATAAAATTTTTATATATAAAATTTAAAAAAAAAAACTGGCTAGCTGGGTCTGTTTAAAAGTTTCATGTTATAAAAATCAAGATATTAAATTTGTACAACCTAGTTTTGTATTTTCTTAATAATAAACTATTATTATTTAATATTTTTATAATGTTTTTATTGTGAAATTATCATTTTTCTTTAGTTATTTTTGATTTATACTTGAATAAATTTAGTTATTTTTGATTTATTGTTTAGTTATTTAATAGTATTTTATTTTGATTTAAACTTTTATTATATTTTTCTTGTTTAAACACATTTCTTAACCACTCTTATACATTAAATTAAATAATATTTTTGTTTAACTTGCAATGACATTTTTATTATTGAAATATTTATAATTTGGTTAAACCAAGCAAGCATATTACAGTATTAAATATTTATTTTTTATTTTTATTTTTTATTTTTTATTTTTTTTTTCTTTTTAAATCTTTTTTTTTTTTTTTTTTTTTGCAATTTATATTTTTGTACTATATATTTGTTATTTTTTTGTTTGTAATTTATTTCAGCTTTTTTTAGTTTTTTATTTTTCTTTTTAATTTGCAAAATAGCTTAGACCATATAAACTTAATAAATTGGTTCTCATAACCCGGCCGGGTCAAATTTCGCAAAATTCTTAAAAAAATTTTTGACTATATTTACTATCCGGGCGAAGTTTTTTTAGAAGTTTATAAAAATTTTTATATGCTTTTTATATATAAAAATTTTTAGAAAATAAAATTAAAAGCCGGGTTGCCGGGTCATTTTTCAACTTTTATGAGAACCAAAAAATCAACTTTGTATGGCCTTATTATTTTTTTTGTTAACTTTTTTTTTTAATCTGCTATATTCTTTTTTTAGTTTTAGGTTTCAAGTTATACGTATACATATTAAACCCAATATAACCTCTATATATATTGTACAGGGTCCTATACCACTGGCATGATAGCGATAGGGTATAGTATTTTTGCATCGACTAAAGTAAAAATTTTTTTTTGTAGCGAATATAACCAATCAAATTGCAATATTATAGATCTGGTAAATTTTTTATATGAGCATGTGATTTGATAAAATTTTTCTCCCTTTTTCTCATCTGCTTTAAAAAAAAAGCGGTTAGTCGTCTGTATTCATAATGAGGTATCTACTTTCTCGAACTTGTGTGTAATTTTATCGAACGTTCATATAATAAAATTTTTTCTTCTTAAAGTAAAATTCAAGTGTCAGCCGTGAGAGAGTCAATTAGGACTCTTTTAGCGGAATCTAAGGAAAAAAATCGAAAATTTACCGAAACTGTCGAGTTACAAATTGGATTAAAAAATTATGATCCGCAAAGAGATAAACGATTTAGTGGAACTATAAAGTGAGCAAACTACATCATGCAAGTTTAAGATGCTTAAAATTTATGATATCTGAGCGTCTCACTTAGTTTATCTTGAATTCTAGGCTCCCTAATGTTCCACGCCCAAAAATGTCCGTAGCCATTCTTGGTGATGCTCATGATTGTGATCGTGCCAAAGAAATTCAACTGGAATATTTAAGTGTTGATGATCTTAAGAAGCTTAACAAAAACAAGAAGTTGGTTAAAAAGCTCGCTAAAAAATATGATGCATTTTTGGCAAGTGAAGCTCTGATTAAACAAATTCCAAGATTATTAGGTCCTGGACTGCATAAAGGTATTTATAATGATACCATTACTTTTGAGAAGAATAAATTTTATTCTATTTATTTTAACTTGTCTCATGTATGTATCAGCCGGTAAATTTCCAACTCCAGTTAATCATAATGATGATTTGAATGCCAAAGCTG